GTGTGATCTATGCAATAAAAACTAGTACTTACAGGGTATATCAGTTGGGTACAAGAGACACTTAACAATACAGAAGAATATTTCCCTCCCAAGTAAAGGCAGTCTGGCTATAGGCAATCCAGGACTGATATGGCAGCTCCAATGTCACAAGGGAGCCAGGCTCCTCATCTTTTTGATCCACCATCACAGCATGAGTGGTTTCCATCTTCAAGATTATCTCCTGGTCCAAAATAACTGCTGGAGCTCCAGCCATCATACTCATATTTCAGGCTAAAAGAAAGAGGAACAATATCAAAGCAAAGGGTTCCTCTCCCAGCTAAGTCAGCTTCCTTTTGATCATATCTCACTGGGCAAATTCAGGTCATACCTAACTGAAAAAGTTTGTTGTGAATAAATAAAATTGTTGCCTTGAATAAAATTTACTTGTAAACTGATTATAAACCAACTAATGTTGACTGAGCATCTGTAATGTGTCTGGTACTTCATAAAACAACCCTGCAAAGCAAGTATCATCAATGCCATTTAACAGATGAGAAAAGTAAGCTTCAGTAGGTTTAGAGAACTTGCTTAAAGATCATATAACCACTTCATGATGGAGCTGGCCTCCTAAAGCCCATGCTTTTTCCACTGTATTTCACTGCCTTTCCACCAGCAACTAAAAAATGAAGTGAGAAGAAAGCTCCTCAGATTTGTCATTGGCTATATTTAAGGAAAGGCCATTCCTTTCCTTGGTGTGTTTTGTTCACTGCTCTATTCCCAAAGCCTAGAACAGTGCCTAGCAAATAGCAGACATCCAATAAATATGTGTTGAATGTATAACTGGGAAGAGTATTTCCATAACCCCTGAATATGCCCTGTACCGCTTTACAGTCAATCCCACCCCTTGGAAGTAGCCGCTATTCTGATGCACATCAATCACCATAGATTCATTTTGTCTCTTCTTGAACTTCATATACACAGAATCATACATCTACAACTCTTTGGTGTCTGACTTCTTTTGCTCAACAACTTTTTTTGAGATTTATTTATGTTGTTATGTATATCAGTGGTTCATTCTTTGTTATGACTGTGTAGTATCCCATTGTTTATATATACCATAGTTTGTTTAACCATTCTTCTTTTGATAGACATTTGGAATGTTTCCGATTAGGAATATTATGAATGAAGATGTTAAGAGCATTCTTGTAAAAGCTGTGTGTGTGTGTGTGTGTGTGTGTGTGTGTACCTTCGCTTATATTTCTCATGAGTGTATATCTAGGAGTGGGTCATAGGGTAGGTATACATTTAGCTTGATAAGCTGGTAAACATTTTCCCAAAATGGTTGTATCCTTTTTTCTACCAGCAATGTATGAATGTCAGAAAGAGATTCTTTCACCATGTCTATTACTTCCATATCACAAATCTAATAAGGGCTTTTTAAAGTACTGACTTTTAAATCTACTCAAATAAGAATAACAAAATCTGAAATGAAATTGCCTGTCAGGAAATACACCCGAAAGGCAGGAGATGAGCTACTTAGGATCTGTAGCATCACCTGACAGGTTCTACTTGAATTTTCCAGGCCAAAAAATGCTTATTAACCTTGGCACAGCTCTCAATTGATGGAGCCACAAAAAATCAATTTCTCTTTCTTCTTCTTCTCTCTGCCTATAACTCAAACACGATGATGAGAGGGAGGGAGGGCTTGAAATGTGTAACTGTGTGAAGTTCATTCATAACAAGCATTTATTACACACTGTGTGCCCAGCACCTTGCTGGACACAATGGTAAAGAAGAAAGATGTGAAAGATTCCACTCTTGTTCTGGAGCTGCTCACAACCTAGTTGATGGATACGAGATGGCAGCTCTTCCTCGGCCCGCCATGTAAACACTGATGTTCTGGATTCTGCCCTTTGCCCCTTTTGTGTTCTATTCCACATACTCTCTCTGGGTCATCTCATTTGATGCCATGATTTCAACTACCCACCACACTTCCATCCAAAATCACTACACTGGTCTGAGCTCACACCCAGGCTCCAGACCCCCGGCTTTCAACTGCTTCCATCCTCAGCTCCCCTCTAATGGTCATAACTTACACGTAATTCATCAGTACATTTTGTTGACTTCTCCTTTAATATACAGCCAGGATCATACTAGTTTTCCCTGGCTTCCTCCTCTATGATCCTCGTCTGCTATAGTCTCTGGTCTGTATGATTGCAATAGCTCTACCAAACCAATATTGCTATCTTATTGCTCTTGCCTGCTCTTCAGTCATTTCCCTTTCTTTTGGTGATACTGTAGAAACTTGAATTACCTTTGGTGAACATAACCATCAGGGTTCCAGAAAAAATTTTATCTGAGGTGAGTTTAATGAAGGTTATTCACACATGTGTGGGTAGGGGTGAGGGACACAAGAAGGAATGGTGTTATGATGCCCTGAGGCTGCCAACAGAGGGGAGACATTATCAGCTCCAGGCCAAGAGAAGGGAGACAGGAAAATAACTCGAAGAGAGATCCGTATGAAGAGGGACACTTGACAGAAGCCTCAGGAGATGTGTGTAGCCAACCTGCAGTGACCTAGAAGGAGCTGTGGAATAATGCCTTTCCTTCATTCTCCTCTGACCCTCTGATCTTCCAATGTCTTCCATTGGATAAATTCTGTAAGCCAGAAGATAAGGGACCCATTGAAGATAAGGGACCCATTGAAAGAGTCCATACAGGTTGGCCTCCGGAGGCACAAATCAGGAAGGAAAGTGTGGAGACTAGCTCTGAAAGGACCAACAGAAAATATGTCACACAGGAAGCCACCTCTCCCTAGTTCTTAGTCCGTGAGATTTGAGAGCTGCTACCTCGAGCTCCAGAGGAAGGCACGTGACCCAAGCCTGGGATGTCAGAATATTCCAAGCCCCTTCTCAAGAGAGCAGTTTAGTGATGTGCAAGTAACCCAAGTGTGACCAGCAAGATGTAGCCCCAGGACTTTTGTTGACAGCATAGAGGAAAGGAAACACTTTCTGTTGGGAAGGATGTGATTTGAAATAGTAAGCAGCCATCTGACACCTGATGGGGAGAAGCAGCCTGAGAATGAAAAGTCAACACAAAGGAAAACAGAATAAGGAAATGAAGAACAAGGACTAAATCCTGATGTCTTAGTTTTAAGCCCATGGATCCAGCCATGCCTGAAACCCGTTACTTTTCTGTTACATGAATCAATGAATTGCATTTATTGCTTAATCCAGTTTGGTGTATGCAAAAACAGAACAAAAACTTTTGAATAATATTTAATACTTACCCTGAAGACCAACACAAAGGTGTACCTGTATGTCTCTAAATATGCTGTTATTGAAGAATGCCTTTTCCCATATTGCCCACCTAGAAAACTATTAAAATATCCTCTGAACTTGCAACTCCTTCCCTCAGTTTTTCAGGTAGACTTGCTCTCTTCCTCGTCTGCTTTGTCAGCACTTTGCAAATGCCTCTTTTAGAGAGTGTATAAAATCTTATCACAATTAATTATTTTCTTATCTGTGGGCTCCTGACAGGATAGATTTATGTGGACCTTACAAGAGCCTGGTGCCTAGCACAGGGCCTAATAGTTCAGAGAAACTCTGAGCTAAACAAGGCTAGCCCAATCTTTTTACTTTAGGACCTCTCCAAGCCATTTCCGTGTTAACATGTATCATGGATCCTCACAGAGGGGTTCAGAATGCAGCAGTTTCCAATCTCATGTGACCTAAAAACTCAATTTGTGCCCAAGTTGCTGTGCTAGAGGAATTCAGAGAAGAAAAAAATTACTGAAGTTTTTAGTTCTTGATGAGAGAGGAAGCAAGAGGGGGTGATGATCCATTGGGCATCTCTTTCTGATGGTAAGGGTCATTCTTTAAACAGTGATTGGGACCATAATCCACCAGTTGTCTTCGTTTAAATCTAACAGATATTAGATGTATTCTGCACTCTCCAGTCCTTCTCCCACCCTCATACCCTAGGTGCTGAGTAACTGACAGCACTGCCTCCTTGATTCTGACCTTCAGTTTGCTTGCCTCTGAGGGCCTATGGGTGCGTGATCAGAGCTGACTTTCTTCCAACTCGCACACTCTTAAAACAAATTCCTTTCCTGTTGTGTGCCTGTTTCCCTCCCCAGGAGCTGAGGGAAAAGACACAGGTTCCCTCCAGAGCTTGGCTCAAATGCCTTGTAAAAAAAAAAAAATTTTTTTTTTTTAAATAATAATGCTGTCTCCCAAAGAAAGCCCCAGCCCTACCACTCTTAACTTTGGACAGCTCATTCGACAGCTTAGGCTCTTGCTCCTTCTATTTGTAGATAAGCCTAACTATGCCCCACTGTTTCCTGGGGCTTCTCAATCAAGCAAGACTGCACGGAAGTATTCTGTAAACGGACAATAAAGCACTAAAAATGTAAGTTGCATTAATATTGTACATAAGGTGAAGAGAAGAGAGAGGGCGAGAGAGGAGCTGGAGTTAGTATCTCAGCATGGTTAAGAGCCCAGGATATGGAGGCGCACACCCCACCGCTTTTAGCTCCGCTCCCTACTAGCTGCCTCTCCTAGGGCAATTAAGCACAGTAAAGCCCACATCTATGCAAAGATCAAAATAATATCCGGTTCGTTGGTTACCCTGAGGTTAAACGAGGTAAAGCTCGCAAAGCACGCTGCGCACAGTACAGAGTAACTGGCCCTCTGTAAGTGTTGAAGATAATCCTACTAGTTTTGTGACCGACTTATGGCGCCGGAGGGAAAAGGAGATAAACTACTACTGGCCACGGTGAGAAGCGAGAAGGTCGCCAAGGGCGTTGGGGTACCTTAAACCCCGCTCCCGCGTGACAGCCCCAGCGCCCCACCCGCGGGGAACGACAAATCCGCCCCGGTGCCCCTGAGTGCGCGCGCGCGAAGCCCGACGCACGCGCGAGGGCGGGGCCGCTTCCTGCCCGCCCGGGAGCCGCTCGCCCCCGCGGGGCCGCCGACCTGGGCGCCTGCGCGGCGCGCGCAGTGGGGAGCGGGGGGCGGGGCGGGACAGCGCGGGGGCGCGCGCCTCGGGCGTGCACGCGAAGCCGGCTGCCAACTTGGCCCAGACGCCGCTCCCGCGGACGTTGAGGGCGTGGCGCCCCGGCTACAGGCAGTCCGAGCCGCGCCGACGCTGCCCGGCTGCCGCCCTCGGCTTCTCCGCCTGCTGGCTCCCCGGTCCGACCTTCCGACCTCTCACCCGCTCGCCTTCCTGGAGCGGCCGAGCGCACAGGTGAGTCCCCTTCTCGGGTGCGGCCGGCGACCGGCTTCTCCCACCAGGGTTGGCAACCCTCACTGGGGAGGGTTGGGGGGCGCGAGGTGCAAAAACCTAAAAAAAAAAAGAAACGGTCCGCAGGTGCCCGGGACGGTGGGCGCCCCAGGCCCCGAGACGTTGGAGGTGCTGCCGCGTTCTGCCTCGGGCGTGCAGCCCCTCTCGTGCCCGGCAGCTTCTCTCCAACTCTGTCTGGGGTGGTGTCTTGGAAAACAAAATCAAGGAAATTGTGCTCTCCTCTGCACCCTCAGTTTTCTCCCAAAAACTCTTTTGACTTTTTGAAAAGCTGACAGGCCCAACCTGCTCCTGAAGGCAAAAAAGGTGCAGTGGGTAAAACAGGCACCGCCGCAAGTTGGAAGCCCCTCTTTCTTTCGCCTCCCCTCCCCCATGATGCACAGATAACCGTCGCATTACTTATTCGCCAACTTCTTGAAACTTGTCTGTCTGCTTCCATCTGCTGCCTGGACCGGTAGAGCAATAATGACCTGTTTGCAGGTTGCGTCGTTCCAGCCTCCGCGCTAAATCTGATCATCTCCTTCGGGGATTAGGAGTCTGGTTTAGGGAGCAGTTCAGATAATGGGTTTCAGATACAAACTAGGGTTATTTAAAGCGATGTTTTAGTGTAATGCTCAAAGCCAAACTATTTGCTCCCGTGATTGAAAATTAGCTAGCACACTACATTGATTTGAACATTCCATAGACACTGCGTTTCAGTAGAAGTCGCTGATGTACTATTTGGTAAAAGAAGCAACTGACTTATTTGTAGCTGTGACTACATATGATTTAAAACTATTTTAAGACAATTTCATTAGCTGTGCTTCAGTCCCTTAAATTAAAAACAAAACAAAACAAAACAAAAACACACTTTGAGACCCAAGATACAGATGTTTGTGCATCACACAACTTCTTACTTTTTGTTGGGGAGTTTATATGGGTATTCTAGAAACGGACTTGCGGTGCAGGAACACAGTAAAAGGCCTGAAAATTAAGGGTCCCTTCTTTGGCCATAAACTTTACATTTTCAGCCTTTTTCTTCTAAGATTGGAAAGTGCTTTTAGGGAAAACTAGATTTTCCCACTATTGAATTGTAGCATCTGTAAAGCTTTTAAACATGAGGATGTTAAGGATTACAAATGAGAACAAATTTTGTACAGTGCTAGAGGATTTGTTTTTCGAAAGACTTAAGAAAAACGTGATGAAAAAAATAGTGTAATTTGGAAATCCGTTAGGCTGAAGCCTGTGAAATAATGGAAACTCTGAAGTTCAATGCCGTTTGTTACTTAGACCCCAGAAACCCACAGAAAGTGGAAGTCAGGTTGTGGAACTCCACTTTTCCCCTAGAATATAGAGGTTACATTGAGGGACAATGAATATACAATGAAACAAATGGCATCAGTCTTTCATATATCTCTGCTTCAATTATTCTTTAAAAACCTATTATTTTTGTATGTTCTGGACAGTGGATTTTGTTTGTTTCAGTTCTCGCTCATGCAAGAAAGTAACACAGTTGCTGGTGGAACACTGAACCTCAATAATTATAGCAGGACCATGTCTAGATGATCTGTGAAAAGAGGGCATAGGTCATTGAAACATAACAAAATACAAAAATCTAATTTTCATCTATTTTTCTTTACTGCTGCACCAAATTTTTTTTTACCACAGCTACTAAAAAGTAGTAACATTTTACCTGTAAGTGGTAAATGAGGAGGGAGTAGAAGGTAGAGACTTCCACAATAGCCATTCAGAACACCCACATTGACAGTCCTGAGGGTTTTTAAAAAAGGAAATTGAGTCTAAATTTATCATTTAGAAGTTTTTAAAAGGAATGTAGTAGTTCAGCATCTGTATTTTCCTTATTTTATATATGAAAGAACAAATGTACAGCAAAAGCCAGGTGACATTTCCAAGGTTATCCAGCAGGGCATTTGTAGAGTGGAAATGGGGGACTTGTTTGCTTTCATTTTTCAGTATTGTTCAGTAGCATTTTGAACACATCAAAAAATAATGAAGTGCATCTACCTGAGGCATTTTAAATGTTCACCAAGTTAAGAAGCGTACTATTAAAAAAATTTATTTTAAAAAAATCCTGGAGGAGGAGGAATGTGCCTTTTCCTCTTCAGAACTTAAAACGCCAAGTCCAATCAATGTGCTTGACATTTGCCTCGATAGGTTACTTTTGTGAGGAGGCTTGTAGCAGAGCATATAGTCTTGCTACTTGGAGTTTTACACTCATTTCATGTTTCCACAAAGAAACAATTTGCCAGAACCCAGCCACAGCTATAGTTGCGCTTATAGGATGCTAAACAGTGATTAGCGCGGCCCTCTGCTTACAGACACTGGAGGATATTGATTCAGCACTTTCTGTTGAGCCAATCAATATCTCCTTGGGTTAGTAAACTGACAGACAGCTTAGTCTTGTAATAGTTGGAATGCCACAGAGCTAGCAACAGCTCCGGTAATAACATAGAAACCATGTACTGTTGTAGGGTTTTTTTTTTTCTTTTCCTTAATAAAACCAAGCTACTTTTCAAGTACCAGCTGAGTTACCTTTTAACATGATTTCTTTACAGATATTTTAGGATTGTCATTTCCCCTGGTTGACTTTGATCATCTGTATCCTTCGGTTCACATCTAATTGCATTGATGATGTCGAGAAAATTATGAAATCGTTGACAATATTGACTTAAACTATATCCCAATAAAACCCTCATGGCTTGCCTTTAGCAAGACAACCATCATCTGAAAGATAATGTCTGTAATACTGTGTGCACTGAATTACAACATAAAATTCTGTGAGGCTTATAGAAAGGGTACCACGGCCTTTTTGCAGCTAGCTCTCTGTTTTTAAATCTGTAAATGTTTTCATACTGGAGCTGCATCATTACTGCTGGTGATGGTCTGGAGCTGGTTTTATTGATAGGTCTGTAACTGAACCATTTTCTTGAAATGATAATGTTGGTTTTATTTTTGTGGCCTTTTTTTTTCTATTAAGGTATCATTGATAAACACTCCTATGAAGGTTTTTCACATGAAAAACATTGTGGTTACTACAGTCACCCATGTTATCAAGCCCCCCCATACCCCATTGAAGTCACTGTCCATCAGCATAGTAAGATGCAACAGTCACTACTTGTCTTCTCTGTTCTACACTGCCTTCCCTGTGACCCTGCACACACACTATGTGTGCCAGTCATAATGCCCTTCAATCCCCTTCTCCCTCCCCCCTCACCTACCCTCCCCTACCCCTTCCCTTTGGTAGGCTAGTTCCTTCTTGGAGTCTGAGTCTGCTCCTGTTTTGTTCCTTCAGTTTTGCTTCATTGTTATACCCCACAAATGAGGGAAATCATCTGTTACTTGTCTTTCTCCACCTGGCTTATTTCACTGAGCATAATACTCTCTAGCTCCATCCATGTTGTTGCAAATGGTAGGATATGTTTTCTTCTTATGGCTGAATAATATTCCATTGTTTATATGTACCACATCTTCTTTATCCTGTAGTCTTTTTGTTACTTGGTATTAGATCACTTGGGTGTGGATTTTTCTCACTTTGTTGTTTTATTATCAGTTCCATTGGTGGTTCTGATGTTATTGGGATCCTTTCAACCCAAAAACGCATTGACATAGATTATGCCTATGTGAAAATAATACTGAGCCCTGACTGTATCTGAGCACTTCACATGTATTCTCTGAATTAATCCCTCTAATTATATCCTTTATTTGATAAGGATTATTATCCCCATTTTATGGGGAGGCAAAGTAATTTACCTAAAATTAGAGTACTGGCAGAGCCAGAGGCTGAGTCTAGTAAGATCTGATTATGGAGCCTGGATCTTCCTGGGATATACTTAAAGCCTTTTCAGACTTATTTGCAGTTACTGTGATGTTTCATCAATCCATCCATTTAATGTATATCAAATATGTAGTAATGTATAAGTGAAGAAAATGTTAACAATGCTCTAAGATACTATAATACTGTAAGTGTAGCAATACTGTAATACTAAAAAATATAATATTGGGACAAAAGGCAAATAATTTAACAATAATCTAAAAAATGAAGATAAAATAGCTATAAAGGACATTACTGAATACAGGACAAAGTTTGAATATGAACTCTGCCATGGATAATAGTATTAACTCAATGTTAAGTTTCCTGGTTTTGATAATGGTACCATGGATTATGTAAGAAAATGATCTTGTTCTTGCACACTGAAGTATTTGGGAATAAGGGGGCACATTCACCTTACTCTCAGCTGTTCAGGGAAAAAATTGTATGTATAACAATAGAATGATTTTTTAAGTGGGCAAAAATGTAAGTGATTGAGTAACTGGGTAAAGAGTATGCAGGAATTCTTTGTACTGTTCTTACAACTTTTCTGTTTGAAATTATATCAAAAGAAAAAGTTACCCAAAAATGAAGGTAGAAAACAGGAAATGAAGGTGTAATATTCTAAGAATTTTTTTTTTAAGTCAAGTGAAGGATTATTTCCTGTGCTCTGATTTTTTTTTCCTCTCTTTTTTCTTTTTAGGGGTTGGAGGAAGGAACATGAAACAAACAAATCTTATAAAAAATAGCTTGACTTTATCAAATTTTAAAATCTAGCCATTCAGAGCTCCCCAACTCTCAACCTCCAAAAGTCCAGGCAAGGTATTTTAATGGGTTAAGGGTGGAGGAAGATTAAAAACATTAGTACCTCTTTGAGAGAAGATACAAAGACAATCCACTTTTATCAAATACTGAAAGTTTAATTGGGTTGGTTATATCATTTCCCTGCCTAGACACTTTCAGTGGCATGCTGATATTGACTATCTTTTTATTATTAAGGTATCATTGATACACACTCTTATGAAGGTTTCACATGAAAAACATTGTGGTTAACTAAATTCACCATATTATCAAGTCCCCACCATACCCCATTGAAGTCACTGTCCATCAGTGTAGTAAGATGCCACAGAGTCCCTACTTGTCTTCTCTGTGCTGCACTGTTATACTGACTGTCTTTTATGTCCGAATTCCGTAACCCTTCTTTCAAGGCAACCTGGCCCACAGCTACCTTTCTAGCTTTGTCTTGTGACACTCCTACCAAATATAGTACCCTCTCTCCACTCCAGATCACATGATCTTTGTGCATGCTGATCTTTTTATCTTCTTCCTTTGTCCATGAACTGATGGCTTTGCTTGGAATGCACCACATTCTCTTCCTGCCGAAATTCTGTTCATCTTATGAGTCTCACCATAACCTCCTTTGGGAAACTGTCTCTGATCTCAGGCAGAATTAAATTTTCCTTTGTACTGCCACATCAGTGGGATAAATAATGCTATCGACTTTCAGTCAACCATCCTTACTAAGCATTTCTCATGAGTTAAAACTATGCCAGAGACTGGGGTTTCAAAGGCATTCATGGTCTGGTAGCTAGGAGTGATTTGTAAACACAATCATCAGGTAACTATGTAACAGAGAAATGAACAAAGTGTTGTGAGAGCTATGACTTCTGCCTGACAAGTTGATCTTAAAGATTACAGTGAAAGCCACAGAGATACCATTTCCCTTGATAGATTCCGGACCTGAGTACCACCTTTTGAATAAGCCCACCCACCATCACAGAGAGACCTAGGTGTCATCTTACCTAGGCTCCAAGCATCCTCCAGAGGACACGTCAGCAAGCCACAAGCCCACCTTTCCCCTGGCCCCTCCCCTCAAAGAGCCCACCAAAAACCCTGGCCATAAAAAGCCTCTTGACCGGTTAGAGATTCTCCTTCCTTTGTTCTGCTGGCCAGGACAGAGGGGTCCCTCTCAGGTTCAGCAGTAAACCTGCTTGGACGGTTGAGTTTGCGTTCCCCTCTTTCCCTTTCATCCCCTGCCCAGGTCCCTTTCCAAATTGGAGATTTCCAGCCCAATAATCTAATTAAAGGAGTATATGTAACTTTTAAACAGTTGTAGTACCTGTAGGCTATCCAGGTAGATATATTCAGTAAAAAAGCTGAAAATACAAGGCTGGAACTCGGGAGAGAGAGTTGAGTCTAGGTATGTAAATCATAAAGATGAGTGATTTTCAGTGTGCAGGGAGGACATAGGGGCAGATCAGAATCTCTTGGGACCATGTACTTTTTCCCACCCATCCATCTGATTCATTGATGAAAATTCTGTTCTTGCTTCCCCCTCAACTTGGGTGACATCCTTCCCGACTTACAAATCCTCATATGAAAGAAGAGGCAGTATTGGTACATGCATGTCGTATGTGTGTGAACCGTAGGGAAGCAGGAAACAAAGTTGGAAAGTGCTGGTAGTTAAGTAGTTAAATGCTTGGGTGTGGCTAAAACCACCCAGGAAGAATCAGATGAGGAAGAAGATGGAGATGAACCCTCAAAAAAGATGAAATTGCAAAGGCTAAGAGGAGCCGGAGACAAAGACAGTTGGTGAGGAAGGGCGGAGACCCAGAAGGCAGGGTCTCCTGTGGCAGAGATAGGCTGAGGCCTGAAATCAGGTTCTAATTTGAGGAAATCTGTGCTGGCCGCCACGAGGGCAGTTTCAGCCAAAAGACAGTGGCAGCTGCCCTGAATTCAGGAGTGACGGCAGTTGAGGTGTGTGCCCCAAGTACAGGTTACCCTTTCCAAGAGGCTGGTAGGGAAGGTGGAGGGAGAGACAGACACAGAGATTAAGGTTTTCTTTTGTTAAGATTGGGGCAGATGTAAGTGGGGAATCTTGAACAAGTCTGGTCGCTGAGGGAAAGGTGCCAAGGGACAAGGGAAATTGAAAGTGTAGGAGCCAGTGAATGGAGCAAGATCCGTTAGGAGTGACCAGAATTGTTGCCAATAAATTCTTGCTTTGATGAGCCCTCCTGGAGAATAGGAATCATGTCTTATTCATCTTACATCCATAATAATGCCTGGCAACACAATAGGCATTTAGAAAATATTTATAAAAACGAGTAAAGATTTTACTTTTTAGAATTAGTCTTTCCTAATTGAGGTAGTAGAATAATGGGGAAAATACTATTTTTATCCTATAATTACCATTCTGTAATATATTCCAAATAAGTAATATATTTGCAGTCTTGTGTTCTTTAAAATAAAAGGGAAAATCACAAATTAGGCAATATTGAGGTAGTAATAATCCTGATGACTTAATTTTTTTGTGCCTGACAGGCATTTCTTAAAGTCCATTTTCAATATCTTGAAATGTGTTACGTTCGTGGCATTCTGCTTGCTGGGTCGGGGTGCAGGTCTGCAAGGAGACAGACATATACAGAAATAGTCTGAGTAAGACTTTGTTCCATTACCTAACAGAGTTACACTCAGCAACTTGCCTTAGGGTTAAAGTTACTGATTTTTAAACATTCAGAGAAGGGACATCTTATAGATTGTCATCTTTGTCCGATTTTGCCCACTGTAAGTATTTCTAATATTAACAAAGACTGATTCTTATGTTAGAACTCTTTGTTCTGTGTAGCTCAGTTTATTGAGAGTATATTTCAGAAAAAACACACTGGTTAAGAAAGGTAAAGTTGGCTCATCACAGACCATATTTCAGGGTGCAGATGGTGAGTGAATCCGTGTGGGTTTTATTCTGCTGTGCCAGCTTCAATGTTGTAGACCTAACACCCAAAACATATGTGAAGGCAGTCCTGGCTTACAAATTTCCTTCCTACTGCTTGTAAACTAGTGTACATAATAATATTACCTCATTTTTATACTTTTTTCCTCCCAATTTCAGTAGAAAACTTTTTGTATTTTCTGGTAATATGTCATTGCCAGTGAAATATGTTATGTAAAATGTGCTAAGCAAATCAAATTAGTATATGTAGAATTGGTTTATGAAGACTGTAATAGGTTGATTTAAACCCTGATTTATTTTTCCGAAATAAAATCACTTCATTTGATGAATTGCTGTCTTGAGAATTGATTGGAACATTATTTGGCCTTCAAAGTCTTATCTCTGTGTTGTTTTCTTTTTTCAGCAGTAGATGCCTGGTAGATCTCTTTGAACTTTGGACACAGAAAAAACCTGCTTATAGGGGATAATGCTAAAGGACACTATGAAATCTTGGAATGATAGCCAGTCAGATCTCTGTAGCAGTGACCAAGAGGAGGAAGAGATGATTTTTGGTGAAAATGAAGATGATTTGGAAGAGATGATGGATTTAAGTGATCTGCCTACCTCACTTTTTGCTTGCAGTGTCCATGAAGCAGTGTTCGAGGTGCAAGAGCAGAAGGTAGGTGTACGTCCTGCTGTTACCTGCGTGAATGTGTGTGGATTCAAGGAAAGAGATTGCTGCCCGTTCGCTAAGTTTGTTACTGGTCCATGACAAGAGCGGAAAGCGTGCATCAACCTTTAGACATCACTGAAGCATTTTTGTGGTATTTTTTAACAGTATTGGTCTATAGCAAATAGGAAATATTTAAAAACCGGTCCTTCCCCATAGATATTTTGAAAAGTATTACTAGTTTGTAATGAACTCTGTATCAAGTCTTACTAAAAGTCCATTTGTTCTTTCATTCATTCATTCATTCATTCATTCATTTTCAAAGCCTGTAGCTAAAGAATAGTAGTGATTTTTAGCCTGGCTTCCTATTACTTGGGAGCAAATTCACAAAAGAAGGAATTATTTGGAGCATTTTCCTGGGGCTAATTACATAATTAGAACCATTTATGATTTCAGTGTAGCAGAATTATTAATTAATATTTCTTATATTACTTTCTATAGTTTGGGGAAAAAAACTATTTAGTTTATTTTTTAAAAGCTGCTTTCCTTTTGTTCATTTATTATTTACCTGGAAAGAGATTTTTGTGAGTTTTTTTCCATCATGACCTCACAGAAGCCTATAGGTCTTAGGCCTACAAAAATAAAATATTTCTGCCAATGGTATAAATTTTGCATGTTCTGAGACTTGAAAACATTATCACCAGCCCTTTAATTTTCTATGTACTTTAAGTATTTCCTTTCAGTAACTTTCTTGGAACAGAATTTGATTGAGTTTGATTCAGTACATACTTGAGTGCCTCTAATGTGTAAGCTACCACGCCAGTTGCTTCAGGGGATAAAGCAGGAATCTAAAAAGCTTCTGCCTCAGTTTACAGTCTTGCAGTGGACATAATAAGCAATTTGATATGAGATGGAATGCTAGTGCCATTAGAGGCACCTTAAAGTACATTGAGGTATCAAAGGAGAGAGGATCGCAGCCAACTGCATTAAAAGATCTTATGGGGAGATGGCTCTGGGGAAGAGCTGGGCGAGTTGGGCAGGAGCTTGGCAGGGGGCGGGAAAGGCGGTTATGGACAGAAGGAAGAGAATGAGCAGAAGAGCTGCATCAGGAGAGTGTGCATCACTTGAGGTTATAGCAGGCAGTTTTGTATTGCTGGTGCACAGGTGAGATATAGTCAAAGTCAAGAGAAATCAAACTAGAAAGGTGAGTTTGGGGCACCTTGCAAAGCTCAAGGCCCTTGCCCTTCTGTGTAAATAGTCTTCTGAACAAAGAAGTGACCCTGAGATTTGCACATAACTGACAACATGGGAAGGGCTGAGCAGGGGAAGGAGAGCCAGAAGCAGGGAACCAGTTAGGATGCCTTTGCAGAAACCCTGCCTTGAGATGCTGAAGACCTGGAAGTGGAGTAAGAGAAAGTGATGACAGCCACCAATTTTGTATCTTTTGGGTTTGTTTTCCTTTACAAATGCTATTTTCCACATTCAGTCATCATGTAGAAATTTTGAAATCATACTTCCTAGTTCTCATACTTTTTAAGAGCCCTGTGGTTTTTCATATAATACATATTTGCATTAACCTTGTTGTTTGTTATTGTGAGAAACCAAATATATTACTAGTTTATCTTAAAATTATATTCATAAGGACTCTTCCAAGAAACCTCACAATCTTATCTGTCCCAACATTTTTTTTTAATGTAGCAGGATTGTTTTTTAAGTTGCTGAAGTGGCAAATTCTTGTTGGTTTTCATTTGGAGTTGTAGCTAACCTAACTTTACACTGGAAATCATATCAGCAGAAATTCTAGTAGCAGTTCTGTGGACTTCATGTTATATACAATTCTTAGTCATAGTAAATTTTATATATAAGCCTTAATGGTAATATCTGAAACTGCAAAATATAAAATGCTTATGTAGTAAAATTATATGTGGCTCATCAATTAAATATAAAATGAGAGAATCAAATGTTTCCTTTATATTTTCCTTCTCACTACCAGTGTCTTAATTTGCATTAATTTCTCCTGGAATAACCTGTTTATGCAGGTCATCCGTGTATGTGGGAAAAACAAAAACCATTTATGATAAGCAGAACAACTTTGCTTGCAGTTAAATGCTTTATTTTCAAGAATTTCAAGAATTTTTGTTTTTTTCCTAACTCGAAAGGTTTTTGTCTGCATAACTTTATAGTTGTTGGAATGAGCTTTTACCGTCTTCTGAATTATATATGAAATTACACCTTGTCATGTAAAGGTGAATCTTCATTCTAGATTGCTAGATTTTGGCTCTTCAGTATCATCAGTGTTTCTTGAAATTAGTGTGTGTGAGGCAGAGGAGAAAAAGTAAAGAATATAATAAGCCATAAGGAAAATAAACTGAGGAAAAAGGCTTATCTTTTCATTTCTGTTTCTATAGAAGCATGGTTGTTAGGCTTTATGCATGTACTTTGAGCAGTAGCTCTATCAGGAGCCCTGCAGATGTGGTACCCAGTTTTTCAATTACAGATTTGGAGTTGTCCAAGTGTGATTTTATTTCCTTTCTTGTTTTTAACCTCATTTTTTCATTTCTTAAAATACAGAAAAATTAAAAGCAGGCTTCTGATTTGTTTTTGTTTTTTTCTTATGTTTTGACCCCCTTTGTCCATTTTTTCCATCCCCCACCCTTGCTTATGGCAACCATCAGTCTGTTCTCTGTATCTGTGCATTTGGTTTTGTTTGTTTATTTGTTTTAAGATTCCACATTATAATTGTGAGCATATGTCTGACTTAGTTCACTGAGCATAATGCTGTCAAGGTCCACCCATGTTATTGCAAATTGCAAGATTTTGCACTTTTTTAATGGCTGAGTAATATTCCATTGTGTGTATATATGCCACAATTTCTTTATTCATTTATCCACCAGTGGACACATAGGTTATTTCCATATTTTGGCTATTGTAAATAATGCTGTAATGACATGAGTGCATATATCTTTTCAAGTTAGTGTTTTCATTTTCTTCAAATAAATATCCAGAAGTGGAATTCCTGAAATGATAGCTCTATTTTTAATCTTTTGAGGAACCTCCATACCATTTGCATGATGGCTGCACCAATTTACATTCTCACCAATAGTGCATGAGGGTTCCCTTTTCTCCACATCTTCACCAACACTTGTTATTTCTTGTCTTTTTGATAATAGCCATTCTAACAGGTGTGAATTGATATCTTCGTTTTGGTTTTGATTTGCATTTCCCTGGTCATTGATGTTGAGCATCTTTTCATGTATCTGCTGGCCATGTCTTTTGAAAATGTCATTCAGATTTTCTGCCCATTTTCTAATTGAGTAGTTTGTTATTTTTGCTATTGAGTTTTGCTCTAGAATTTTATGAGTTCTTTATATATTTGGGATATTGGTCACTGATCAGGTATATAATTTGCAAGTATTTTCTTCCATTCAGTATGTTACCTTTTTATTTGTTAATGTTTTCCTTTGCTGTACAGAAGCTTTTTTAGTTTGATGTTCCCACTTGTTTATTTTTGCTTTGTTGCTTTTGCTTTTGGTTCAGATTCAGAAAATTATTGCCAAGACCTATGTCAAAGAGCTTAACATGTATGTTTTCTTCTAGGAGTTTTATGATTTCACATCTGACATTCAAATCTTTAGTCCATCTTGAGTTCATCTTTGTGTATGGTGTAAGGTAGTGGTCCAATTTCATTCTTTTGCATTTGGCTGTCCAGTTTTCTTAACACCTTTATTGAAGACACTGTCCCTTCCCCCGTATATATATATGCTTGGCTCCTTTGTCATTAATTAATTGAACAAATGTGCATGGGTTTATTTGTGTTCCATTAACCTTTGTTTCTGTTTTTATGCCAATACCATACTGTTTTAGTTACTATAACTTTGTAATTATAGTTTGAAATCGAGGTGTATGATGCCTCCAGCTTTGGACTTCTTTGTCAAGATTGCTTTGGATATTTGGGGATTTTGTGGTCCCATGCAAATTTTAGGATTGTTCATTCTAGTTCTGTGAAAAATGCCATCAGAATTTTGATAGGATTGCATTGAATCTGTAGATGGCTTTGAGTAGTATGGACATTTTTACAATATTGATTCTTTGAGTCTGTGAGCACAGAATACCTATCCATTTATTTGTGTCTTCTTCAATTTCTTTCATTAATGTCTTGTAGTTTTCAATATACAGAACTTTGACCTGCTTGGTTAAATGTATTCCTAGCTTTTTATTCTTCTGATGCAAGTTTAAATGGGATTGTTTTCATAATTTCTATTTCTGATAATTTATTATTAGTGCACGGAAATGCAATAGATTTTTGTGTACTGATTTTCTATCCTGCAACTTTATTGAATTCATTTAGTAATTTCAACAGTTTTTTGATGGATTTTTCAGGGTTTTCTATATATATATATGTCATCTTCAAATAGTGACAGCTTTACTTCTTTTTCCAATTTGGATGACTTTTGCTGCTTTTTCTTGCCTAATTATTCTGGCTAGGATTTCTATGCTATGTTGAATAAAAGTGGTGAGACTGGGTATCCTTGTCTTTCTCTTGATATAAGAGGAAAGAACTTTCAGCATTTCACTGCTGGATATGTTAGCTGTAGGTTTTCATTTATGGCCTTTTTTAGGTTGAGGTATGTTCTGTACCTCCATACCTACTTTGCTGAGAATGTTTATCATAAATAGATATTGAATATTTTCAGATGCTTTTTCTGCATCTATCGAGATAATCATATAATTTTTATCCCTCATTTTATAAATGTGGTATAGCACATTGACTTGCAGATGTTAAACCATCCTTGCATCACTGGAATAAACAAATCTCACTTGATCATGGTGTATGATACTTTTAATTATTGTTGACATCAGTTTGATAACTGCTGAGAATATTTCCATCTGTGTTCATTAGAGATATACTGTAATTTTCTTTCCTTCTGGTATCCTTATCTGGTTTTTTGTATCAGGGTAGTTCTGGGCTTATAAAATGAGTTAGGAAGACTACCCTTATCTTCTGTTTTTTTTGAAAGAGTTTGAGAAGGATTGGTATTAATTCTTCTTTGAATGTTTGTTAGAATTCACCAGTGAGGCTGTCTGGTCCTCGACTTGAATTTGTTGGAAGGCTTTTG